CAGTCCGAAATGGGTAGTAAAGGGCTACATACGAAATTTCAAAATTTGGAAAATTTCGGTATTTTGAAAACGTCATTCGATAAAGCGTCGAAAACTGCCCTAGGAGAATTAATTTGAGCCCGAAATAATGTAAATGAAATTTTTTTATCGAATAAACAAAACTTGATCAAAATCCATGGGCAGCACATAGGATAACGGGGAAGCCAAATTTTTGAGATTTTCGATATTTTAAAAACGCGAATCGATTGAACATCACAAAATATACTAAGAGATTTTTTTACAACGCGAAAAAATTTATTATAAAAGTTTTATAGCCTAAAAACTATTTTTGAAAACTATGGGCAGCACATAGGATAACGGGGGGAGGGAAAGCAAATTTTCGGAGTTTTGAATATTTTCGATATTTTGAAAATGCCATTCGATAGAGGACCGAAAAATATATTAAGAGCTTTTTTCTACAGCCCGAAAAAGCATATTCAAAAACACTTTTATCATATAAAAAGTTTGTGTGCCCCCCATTATCCTATGTGTACCGAAACCACGTTCAGTCTTGTTTTTGCTATAACTATTCTACATTCTACATTTTGATACGAAATTAAAACTCTTCGTCTATTTTTTTTCGATGCTCTATCCATTAGTGGTCTATCGATCTTCAAAAATTAGCATAGAACCCGAGTTTCAAAACACTAAATGTTTTATATTACAATATTTTGAGCTAAGACCAAAACCCTCAGTATATTTTTCGAAATAAAGAAGAACCTCACTAAATTTCAGGAAATCGAGCTTTCATCCCGGCTCCAGCTTGAGCTACAGTGACGCTGATTCTACGAAAAAAACGCCCTTGTTCCGTAGAATCAACTATAATAATTTTCTTGACGCGTTCGTCAAGAAATTCATCCGTCTATCCGTCTGTCCGAAGCCGAATTCAACTCGATAGGGAGAGGAGCTAGAGCGTAGGTCTCCGGATTCGGATAGAGCGTGGTCAGAAACCCCCAAACTGATAAAAAAATTATAAAAGTTTTAGTTTAAATTATTAAAATTAACTGAAAGTTTTTTCCTTAGTAAAAAGGGGTGGGGGACGGAGGGTAGGGTGATTTTGGACATAGTGAGCCAGGTCGCGCGCGTCTCGGGGAGGGGGAGAGAGCGCAGGGGGTACCCGAAGTCCAGCCGCTTGCAGCGCTGGACTGATCGGCTAGTAGAAGCTAGTTTATTTGAGTCGAGAACCATAGCGGAAAATAAAAAAACAATTGAAACAGAAACTCGTGGCGTGGGGTGAACTACGCAGACCGTAACCAACTCCAGTTACTCACCCGTCCCGATTGTAGCTTCGCCGCTACTCAACCGTATATTTTCCGACGGGGCTGGAGATAGAATGCAGCTAATTTCATAACGTGTTCGCAAAGAATTTTGCGCTCCGGTCAGTTCGCTGGAGGACTTGGCACTTTCCTGCAACAAACGGCTGCTAGAAGTACTTTTTCATACCCAAACGCGCTCCAGAAATTCTGCAGGTGGCATGTCCGGGCAGGCAGCGTCACGAATCAAAAATAGCAGCTTCTAAATCCGTTATTCAAATTGCAAATATTGCCTATCAAGCGCCCTGTGTGCAGATCATACCTCGCCGGACGCAGCAGTTTTCATCAAATTTGCTGTTTCAACTGCCCGATGAACAATGCGCAAGTTATCACCATCAAGGTTAATGCGCAGGTTGATAATCTAATTGAAAAAATCTATAATTCGAGGAAAAACAGCGGTGCACTGGTCTCGAATCAAATAAGACGTTCCAAGAGGACGTTACTTTCTGTCTATTGGCCTAATTTACCTGAATGCCAGCGATTAGCAAGCTGAAAGCCATGATCCAATCGGCGACGAACAGCTCGGTTTGCAAGTCAAAGGTCCCTTGAGTATCCAAAAAGAACATGAAAGTCTAAATGTAATTCAAAATACAGGATAAAAGTCACTGACCCCATCTTCCAGCTCCATCGGATGCTCGCAAATTTGAATTCCTTCTGTGTCGCGGTCATAGCCGCTTTTGAAGCGGCCACGGATTTCATGTTTGCTATAATAGCGCACCTATTATATATTATAGACTCGTCCGACCCGTTTCTCCTATTAGCCCTCTCTCTCTCTCTCTCTCTCTCTCTCTCTCTCTCTCTCTCTCTCCGACCGGTCAGTGTGCTGGATGCAATTAATTACGGGCCCTCACACGCATTTCAAGAAATATTTTGGACAACATACCTGGTCATGTAGGCCACCAAGAAACTCTTGCCGCTCCTTGAAGGGCCAATGATGCTGACAAATGTGACCTGATGATACACTCGAAGGCTATAGGCAGTGCTCGTACCTTTTTGTCTCGGTATCTCTCATTTGCAAACGTCTTCCGGGCGCTATCCTCATTCAACAGAATATTTCCTCCTTCAAAGGAGACAAGCTGGAGATAATTCAGCTCGGGTGGCATTTCTGGAAAGTGAGAAAGGGAAGATGGCTTGAAAGGGAGTTTGGTTGAACACAGTCAAATGGACTTACTGATTACCAAAAACAAGAGTTATGCATAAAGAATTTAACTGAAAAGCGGGGTTAGTTGAAAAGCCGCTTCGCGACTTTTCAACCCTAGCCCCGTCTCGGACCCATACTATTCTTCCCGTTGCATACTTGTCCTTCATTCAGAAGGCAAAAAAAAGAAAAACAACCCCTTCTAGAGACGACCGTCCACTTCCCGGCCTATACTGATTATTCCTAACAAAGAGATTTTTACAAAAACCTAAAGTTAATCCTACTATATATGAAAAAGTAGTGTATGTGTGTGTGTCTGCGGAGACTTTGCATAAATGACTCGAAAAAACCGGGTTACCAAGATATTGGGACGGGGGAAGGGTTTTCGGGCCCAGTCGAAAGCTATGCCAGAATGCAAAGCGCCGAACCTCTGAAGATCCCCGCACGAAGGCCAGGGTTTTCAACCCTGGTTTTTAGATAGAAGGTGGGAATGCTGACAGGGAAATCAGGATTTCTGAATTGTGGTCTGCAGTTATGCGGTTGTGCCAATCGACGATGTGCGCGAGATTCTGAAACGGTCGAAGCACGCGCTAAACTACACACCTGCTGCAAGTAAATGCTAATTCTAGCCGTATCCAGCCGGGCTCGGTAATGGAACAAGACCGTGCGGCGCGTTTTTAACGTAATCAGTAGAAAACGGGGAAGAGGCCCACGTCGCAGCCTAAATTAACTGAAAATGGGCGATTTGCCGGCGCCAACGGGGACTTCGAGCCTCGATAAGAGTCGTTGCGCCGCAGCTTCGCCTATTATTCTTTGGCTTTGGCCTCTGTGTTCAAGTGTCCTGCTGAAAACGTGGTGCGCACAAGTGATTAGGTTTCTTTTGCCGGTCGCCATAACCGTTGCGATAAGGCTCTTTTCGGCGAGGACTCCGCGGGTCCTACAGTTTACGGTAAATCTAATTTTCTTGCAACATTCTGAATCGGTTTGAAAATAAGACGGGCCCATTCTTGCATCACGCTTTGCTCTCCAGCCTAAATGCTTGTTGCTTCATAATTCATATCGTGTTGATATATACATGACAGACGCAATAACGATCGCAAGTATTGTCAAATTTTTCGATGTTTCCGAATTGCCAAAATTTTTGAATTGCTTTTTACAGGGTGTCCCAAAATTATCCGGACCAAACTGAAAACTGACTTTTTCAATTTTTCCGCTGTTTTCGGCCTCCGCATTGTATTTCATAATATTTTTTGAGGCATTTTCGATGCACCGTGCAAAAAAATTCTTGGAGAACGCAAAATAGCTTCACAATCGAGCGAAGAGCGTGTTAAAGTTTTTCGCCTCTTAAAAAACATAAAAAACTGCGGTAAACTTTCAAAATGTGTTCCGGCGTTTTTGTGGGCAAGGAAGAACGTTTTCTGGCAAAACGGACCTAACTCCGCCAAGATCCCGACATGTTAATGGTCAATTTTCCGTTTAATACCAATTTCCATCCCATTACTGGGCAAAGTTTTTCGATGCTAGCTCGTGCTCACGCTCCTTCCTCAAAAATCAAAGTCAGCTTAATTTAAATCGCTTGTGCATCATCGTTACCGCTAAAAGTTTATGACTCTAGTCTTTGACAATAATCATGTCGCGTTTTTAGGGTCCCTCCAGGGCAAAACCTTTAAGGCAGCCGGGGCGGCGCTTACCTCGGTTTCGACTTTTTTGCTGGCTTTTTTTTGGTGAAACCTAGCGTTTTTGGGCCGGCTAAAGTGTTGACTGGACATTTCCGAACTCTTCCTGTGGTTTCTTCGTTCGTCGGGTCATGCTGAAGTTTCTTATGGGATCGGAAAGCATGCGCGTTTTCAGCGTTTGCAAGGAGAGAGAAATTTGGTTCGAACTTCTCCAATTTATTCCGAAGAGATATAACGTATTCACGCGCAGTTTTCTTTTTAAGCTTATTAAATACACTTCAACGATTCATATAAATTAAATTATGATCTGCCAAAACAGCGAAAAAAATAGGAAAAAACCGCTTTGCAACTTTATCCGGATAATTTTGGAACACCCTGTAGTAGCTCATGCGATAGAGCACAAATCAAGAACCTAAATAACTTTTTAAGGAGGGGAGTTCTGCAAAAACTATATTTAAGCCTCACATTTATTTTAATTCTTTATCGATTGTAGATATTACATAGCGATTTGCGACCTGGGTCAAAAACACTTCCCTTGTTAGGCTCAACTCCACACTATACTGTATTTACACAAAACAGGTTTGCGATTGGGAGCCTAACTCCACCGAAACCCCCGTGCGTCTTTTACATATTTCAGAAGAGCTTGTTTAACAAGGAGGCTATTGCTTGAAGCAGTGATGCTCTATATTTCAGGCATAAGCAGTCGGCTTGCTCATGTCATCTCCGACACCATCCGCGGTAGTTCCCCCGGACTACGCTAATGTGCAGAATGGATTCGGAGTCGGCGTTGTTGAGATATCCCGAGACATATCATTTAGGCCGCGACTGCGATGCAAATTCTTTATGAAATTGTTGAGGGAGAAGCGTACGAGAATCTAGTATTATTGGACAACCTGTGCGAGCAGATCGGGCCGCGGCCGGTAAGGACAACGTTAATTTAGGTTGAAGGCTAAGAACGCCAAAGTTATTATTTATTTTTAGGTTGCCGTAATTTCGACGGCCGGGAAATCACGCTATGGAAAAACTTTTTTTCAAAACTTCTTGTTAAAAAAACTGCGCACGGGATCGTCACATTTTGGTGATGATGAGCTGATCGGGTTGGTTTTTGAGGCTGGATTAAAGGGGCAAATCCGGGCGATGTCGATCGCTCCGCAGGCTCACAGAACGTGTGCGTTAGCTCAATCTTTAAGTGGATACCATGGCGTACCCTTCAAAGGAGGTTACGTTCCACATAATAAGGGACTCCTTGTTTGGCCAGAGGTGTTCAAGGCGACCTACGAAGACAATAAAGAGGTATCCACACAATGCTAAGTGATCGGTCTCGTGGATAGATTGCGGTTATCTTGATGGACACCCAGGGCACCTTCGACACTCAAGCCGAAATTGACGAGTCAATCAACTATTTCTCCACATCATTGCTTCTTTCGTCAATTCAGGTAGATGAGATAGGTTTCAACATTTTCGAGTGTTCGCATAGATTTTCAACGTAAGCTCAAAGCTGGACGCGACCGATTTCGATAGCTTAAGCACCTTCATCAACTACAGCGGGATGACCGGCACTTCGGTTAACCAGGTTAATGACTGGTTTACCACCTACAACGTTTTTCAGCATATAATTTTCTTGATCCGTGACGCCATGTTAAACACTGGATTGAGCCCCGATTTTTTGTCAAACATTCGAGATGGAGCCCTTAACTCTCCTGCATTGCTTGGGCTTATCGATGGCGTTTTCAATGCCTTCGACCGTGCCGATACATACCTTGTGCCTCCTCCCCAACCAGTTGTACGCAGCAAGGATATCGAAATTTTTGCTAAAGGTATTGTTTGTATATTAACACAAGACGATAAAATGACCTTCACAAATATCGAACATTCAGAGTGTGGTCGTCAATTCCTGACGTGTCTTTCCGGGGTAACGGACTTCGTGATTGCACAGCTCCGTCCAAAATGCATCCTAGGACAGCCCCTCGATGGGCCTTCTTTCAGAGAATGTGCCAAGGTATTAACAAAACGCAACAATATTGAAGTTCTTAGGAAATCTTCGAGAAAAGTCGTAGCAAGGCGAAGAACAGGATTGGCAGCTTTTTCGATGTAGGTTTGTGCCGTACGAAGCCTCTCTATGGGTTAAAATCTTTCTCGAAATGAATGCCTTTGCCGGGGTTAATTAGCCGGTCTGATCGATATCTCGATATATGACTTGGAAATATCCAGTAATAACAATATCTGCCACCTGAGCAAAACAAATGGACTGAGTTACTCGAGGTCCTAGCGTTCAATTGTAGGGGTGGCGACAATTGCTGCATGAGAGGGCGCGCAATGCGGCACTGTCTCGCTACGAGGAGCTGTGGAGGGCGGTTGGTGAATTTCTGCAGGGTTGCCAAAACCCTCTAGGAGAGCCATGAAGTCAAAAAGCCCGAAGCGTTTGATCATCGGGCGGAAATGATTTTGCGGGCGTCAATGAAGGTTTACTTTTAGTTTACTACAATCTTTGCTTCTTTACGAAAAAGGGCCGCGACAAATTTAGGCGTATGCGGCAGAGCCGACACCCGATGATTCCAGCAAGTTTGCAGTGGCAGAAAAATTTCGGCAAGAACTCAAGGTCGTAATACAGTGCTTGATGACCCGCAATCATATGCAATGCAATTTTACCCGGGAGGGCAAAAAATTTTTGCGACCTCTCCCCCCCCCCTCCGGTCGCCACTTTTGGCTCGAGTTTTTGTTAGGCTCGCATTTTTGTGTAAAAACACCACAGAAAAGGCACCACCGGCGAAAATTTTTAGGGAGAATTTATGCACTTATGAAATGTTGAAAAGATGCACCAATGCCCTCCCCCAACTTTTCGGACCTCGAGTTATTTCGGGGGAGGAGGGCTCCTACGAGCCTGCCCGGGAATCTGAGCATAAGGCTTCTTGTCTGAACGAAGCCAAATAGTAAACAAACCCCGATGTACAATGTCACAAATAACTTTTGTAGAATATATATATATATATATATATATGTATATATATACAGGGTGTCCCAATAAAAAAGGTCACGCTGGCATTTCGCCATTTCGAATCTGATCGACTTGAAATTTGGAACAGAGCTACGGAAGGGAATTTGAAATGTTCACAGTAACTTTCAGCCCGATCGGTACAGTAGTTTTCGAGTTGTAGCAAAAATACTGTTTTTTCAACCCTTGTGATCTATTTTTTTCGGCTATCTTTTTGGACTTTGCATCGATTTGCATCGACTTCCGGCTGTGAATCCCTAATTTCGCTGAAGTGCTGGGGTAGTTTTGCGTTGTAAAAATTGCTTAAATCGAAGCTTATTTAGTTAATTTTACTCTGGGGAAAATTTCTTAGGGTAAAAAAGGCCTACCGAATCATTTTCACTTGATGTTTAGTGGGTCTAATTCCACGAAAACCCTATGAAAAATTGAAAATAAAGTTTGTTTTCGTTATAACTCAAGAACTATTGTAGCTACAGGGCTGAAAATCAGGATTGTTGTTATTTAGGGTCTGATACACCTCTGGTCCAAATTTGGAACCGATTGGATATAACACGGCGAAATGCCAGATGGGTCGTTTTTTTGGGACACCCTGTACTTAAACAACCTATTTCCAAGACGAATTTTACGAAATAAAAAATTTTCTCGGGTAAAAAAGGGTCGGCGCTTCATTTTTGCCATACATCCAAAGGCTCAATTCCGGCGAAATCCAGGTTAAAAACATAAAATAAAGTTTATTTTTGCTATAACTCGAAAACTACTGTACCGATGGCTGGAAGTTTCTGTGAACATTTCAAATTGCCTTCCGCAGCTCTGTTCAAAATTTCAAGTTGATCGGATTTGAAATGACAAAATGCCAGCGTGACCTTTTTTATTGGGACACCCTGTATATCCTACCTTATATAATTTTGGAGTGTATCTCTGTGTGTGTGTGTGTGTGTGTGGATGTCATGTTCGAGGCCCGATTTGAGGGCCTTCCCGTGTCCAAAATGCCCTGATTCTCCGTCACCCGGGGGAATCGACCCTCCTCTTTCCGATGGCGCTTTCAGAATCCCGATAAAATACAAGTTTACAAAGTTAAAGCCGGTTTTATTGTTTTTTGGGGGTCCGGGAGGGCTAATTTGCATAATGTGAAAAAATACAAATTTCCTCATTCTTGCCAGTTGCACTCGCGAGTTTGGTCGTCTCTTTGGATCTGCCTCTCGATGCGTTTCCTTCCCTGCCCCGGGCAGTCCACTTGAGGCATAAAACGGGTGTTTGACGCGTGCTGCCAAGCATTGCATGGCGTAGTGGTAAGCGCTTCGCCGTGTTAATCCGACCATCGGAGGTTCGATCCTCGGATATCGTAGTTGTTTTGCTTTTTGCTCGGAAAGTGCGTTTCGGAGTAGATTTCCGTGTAGGGACGTTATTATGAAGTTAGTCACTCAAGCCGCGGCCTATAGAATGAAGCTACCCGCTCAAGCATGCGCCGCAGGCCAAGGAATCAAGCTAACTGCTCAAGCTAGCGCCGCAGACTTTGGAACGACGCTAGCCGCCGAAACTAGCGCCGCAGGCTAAAGGTTCAGGCCGCCCCCTGAAACTAGCGCCGTAGGCTTCGGAAGGAAGTTGCCCGGGCAAGCTAGCGCTATGAAGCTAATATCACAAGCTAGCGCCGCAGGCTTTTAGAACGAAGCTAGCCGCTCAAGCTAGCGCCGCAGGCTTTAGAACGAAGCTAGCCGCTCAAGCTAGCGCCGCAGGCTTTAGAACGAAGCTAGCCGCTTAAGCTAGCGCCGCAGGCTTTAGAACGAAGCTAGCCGCTTAAGCTAGCGCCGCAGGCTTTAGAACGAAGCTAGCCGCTCAAGCTAACGCCGCAGGCTTTAGAACGAAGCTAGCCGCTCAAGCTAGCGCCGCAGGCTTTAGAACGAAGCAAGCCGCTCAAGCTAGCGCCGCAGGCTTTAGAACGAAGCCAGCCGCTCAAGCTGGCGCCGCAGGCTTTAGAACGAAGCCAGCCGCTCAAGCTAGCGCCGCAGGCTTTAGAACGAAGCCAGCCGCTCAAGCAGCGCCGCAGGCTTTAGAACGAAGCCAGCCGCTCAAGCAGCGTCGCAGGCTTTAGAACGAAGCAAGCCGCTCAAGCTAGCGCCGCAGGCTTTAGAACGAAGCCAGCCGCTCAAGCTAGCGCCGCAGGCTTTAGAACGAAGCTAGCCGCTTAAGCTAGCGCCGCAGGCTTTAGAACGAAGCTAGCCGCTCAAGCTAGCGCCGCAGGCTTTAGAACGAAGCCAGCCGCTGAAGCTGGCGTCGCAGGCTTTAGAACGAAGCAAGCCGCTCAAGCTAGCGCCGCAGGCTAACGAATAAAGCCAACCATTGAAGCTAGCGCCGCAGGCTAAAGAAGGAGGTAACCGCTCAAACTTGCGCCGCAGGCTTTATCTCGAAACAAACCGATCGAGCATGCGCCGCAAGCCTAATAAGGACACTAGCAATTTAAGCTTGCGCCGCATGTCAATACCAAGAGGTTTGCATGGGAGATGCGTTATTCTTTCTTCAGGGTAACTTTATGTGGAAGGGCGCTCGATTTATAGGGCCTAGACGGGGTCCAGCGGGGGAGAGTCGCGAAGCGGCTCCTCTCCCGCTGGTATATACATATATATATACCAGGGTTGAAAAACCGCTTCGCGGTTTTTCAACCCTGGCCTCGTCTAGGACCTGGGAAGAAAATCTTCTGCATGTGTCGTCCTGAATTCTAGCAAGAAAAGTGAAAAACGGCTCCTTTGTCCCTTTATATAGGCTCCTCCTACTTCCGGCACATGCTAATTGCCCCTAACAAAGAGTTTTTCGAAATCTTTACAAAAACTCAATTTTAATAGCAAAAACAGTAATTTTTCAAAAAATTTATGTGTGTGCACTCACTCGGCACCTTTACACACCTAATGACGTATCACACATACCTTAAAACCTTCCCCAGAAGCTGTAGGTTCGGTACATACTCACGGAAGTTGCATGCAAATATGCACACACACACACAAACACTATTTTTTTATATATAGTTAGATATATATATTTATATCCTATCCTATAATATATATACATGTATATATATCCAGACTAATCATTTGCGCCAGCATTTAACGTAAGTAGTTTTTGTTTCTGAGAAAGCTAACTTGTCGGTCAAGGAATTGTAGTTCATATCATACAGGAATAGCAATCTCCTTGTAAGAACCAAAGTGTCATTTAAAAATCAGGGGGTTGAGCGAAGATGATTTGGAGAGCTCTGTATACGTGGCCTAGGCAAAAAACGAGGCACGCTCCCTCGTGAACTCTAAGCTCTACGAGAAAGAAACACTCGGCGGAGCGGTGGATGCTGGACTGAGAGCTTACGACATCGTTGTTCAAGTAAGAACGTCTGAAATTTACCTGGTCGCCAGGCATAAAGAGAAGTTCTGTTGGAAGCAATTCTGACAAAAAGCCTGCCTTAGTTGTATCTAAACCCGTGGTTTAGCCATTGCTGAACGACTTCTTCGAAGAAGTCACAGCTGGAGCTGCCGTCGATGCGCATAATCAAGGTCAAATCGCAGCAATCGAGGCCTTTGATCGAGGTAATCAAAAAAGTAGCGCCAGCCGGGCTAGAACGAAAAATTGTCCATCATTCTATTTATTTTGCGCTTTTATCGAATCGAGCGTCAGAATTCGAAAGATCGTTGCTTGTGTAGGTAAAAATGGTCAAGGGTCGAAAACTGGTAAAGTTTTTTGTCAGTGTTGGTTTCGGTTTGGGTAGAACCTAAATGCTGCTGAAGGGCACAAAGACCGGATTTGAGTGGGATGTTGTATTTGAAATAGACTTTTTCTAGAAACGACACCATTCTTACATGAATATTATGGTCAGATTCGCGAAAACCGCGAACGTCTCGTAGCCCTTCTGGAGGTGAGTTACTGCCCCCCACGGTACAGCCATCCTTCCAGAACAAATTGACGGATCTAAGGCACGGCAATGCTTTGAATTGGATACGAATCAGAGGACTGAACTTCGTAGAGGGCGGCATCAGTCAGTACAAACTCTATCTACAAGAGGTCAGTATCAATCGCCCATGTAAACGCGCAAAATTAGGCGACATCGACTGTTGCTGAAGAAAAGGACATCGATGCCGCTATTAAGAGCGCAAGGCTCCGTCTTCAGCAGTGGATAGCCGAAGAAGAAGAGACGATTCTACATAGCTTTCTTCAGGAACAACCTCACCTGGACCCCGAAATGACGAGGAAACACTTTCAGACCATTCGTGACAAGGGGTTGTCGCGGGCTCTAACGGTGAGAGTTATTTTCACGCTGAACTTTCGCCAAATCGTTCGCGTCAGACTAGCTCGCGTGGGCAGTCTGAATGAAGTGTTTTAAGGGGGAAATGAAAAAAGAAACGACCTGCTTTTTTACGCTTTATGCAAAAGATCGTTGGCGGACGCCCGCTATTGTAAGCCCAAAAGAAGCCGCATCTTCTGTTATACTAGAAAAGCATCATCTTCCTATATAGAGCTCTTTTTGACGCAACGCCACCGGCTGCCCGGCTCAAATTAAATAATTTCTGCAGGGTGTTCCAATAAAAAACACCCCGCTCTGACTCGACGCAGAAGTCTCGGATCGGAATGATAATTACACCATTCGAAAGCCCTTGAACCGGCGAATTTGCAACAATCTTCAAAGCCATGTTCTGATTTAAATGCGCTATTTTAGAGGCTATTTTGTAAAATCTTGTAGTTTTTCGTGGTTGCATAGAGCTAATTTCCCTCAAATTCTCCAAGCGAAATGATCGGTAGTAGTCGGTAATCAGAGGCAGGAGGCGTTCGGTAAGGTTCTAAAATGCGTTGTAAAATAGCGGGTTTAAATAAAAACATGGGTGCAGATTGTTGCAAACTCGCTGTTACAAGGGGTGCGAATCGTGTAACTATTGTTTCGAACCGATACCTCTACGTAGAGTTAGAGAAGGGTGTTGTTTTATTGATTACAGAGCTGTGATGAGGACTTTCAAGAACGGATTTCGTTTGCCATTGCCGTGCAGCAAAAAGATGCTATGATGCAGCAGCGCCTGGCTGAACTTGAGGATCAACGCGCGCTTTGGGAAGAACAAGCAGCGAGGCTCAGTGCGGACAGTCAACGACTACAAAATATGAAGCTCGCTACCCCGCAGGCCAAACAAAGGGCTCTGCAGGAAGCGCAGCATAAGGAAGCGGAAGCGCGGCAAAAACGGCAGCTGGCCGATAAAGAAAGCGAAAGGCTCACTGCAGACCTACGTGCTTCCAAAAGGTTGCTTGGTGAGTTATCAAACTGGTCTTGACAGTTGTCTCATTTAATCCCTCCCCTATCTAACATGCTTAAGGACCCCGCCTCGTCCTAAAATGCTTACGAGTTTTTAAATCACCTTTTGTGTTAATAAGTATCAAAAATCACTGGGAAATATTAAACATCTGTAGCCTTGCAAAAAGCGTTCCATTCAGCGGAGCGAAGGGAATCTACCAGAAAAAAGCAATTGCTGAATGATCGCCGCCGCCAGGAAGAGGCAGAGAGGCGGGCTGTCGAAGCAGAAGAGCTTCAGAAAATAGCTGAGGGGACGCGTATACAAATGGCCACGCGGCTGGCCATGGAAAAGAAGGTGATGAACGACACGCGTTTGAGGTGAGCTTTCGGATAAAAACCTAGGCAAAAACCAAAAAACAGAACGTTTGATGCACTTTGTATGAGATCCCTGGCAATCCACTGGCAACAGACCCGGAACCGGCGCAAATTGTAGCTTGCCGGCGTCGCTTTCTTGGCTGGGCCCGACTTTCATTTCGCAGCCCACGGCCCCCTTACCCAGAGTTACAATACCACATGGCGTTTCAGACTACATTGTGTTTCAAATTTACAGATATAACAAATCGGAAGCTGCACTTGGAATCGATCTGGGCACCACTTACTCTGCCGTTGCGGTTTTCGTTGGTGATGAGCCAGTCATTTTGCCGAACGAATACGGTGAGAAAGTTTGGAAAAGCAACCCCTTCAAAGCCGCCCTACGATGTGCTCATTGTTCGCCCTAACTTTTGCAATTATTTTTTATTTACGGCAGATTATTAGCCGTCACCCCTAAAATTTTCCTGCGCCCATCATGCGTTCTAGGAAATCGAACTACTCCATCGCAAGTGGCGTTCAGCGAGGGAAAGACTCTGGTCGGTGATGCCGCAAAAAATCAAGGAACTAGAAATTCTGGACAAACCATTTATGGTATGCTCTGAATAGCCTGCCCCATAATAACGGTCTCTTTCAGAAATCAAGCGTCTAATGGGGCGACCGTTTTGCGACGAGCATGTCAAGACCAGTGCAAAGAACTGGCCTTTCGACGTAGTGGAAATTGATGAAATGCCAGCAATCCAAATCGCAGATGGCAAAGAAACTAGACAATATACTCCAATCGAAATCTCCACCATGCTGCTTTCTAAGTTACGGGTAAGCTTCACAAGTAATCTGCAACAATAACTGTTGGGATTTGGGGTTGGACAGCATCAAATTACCATTAAATAGCCTAGCTAGTATTGCTTCTCAAAGATCTAATTTCTACTATAGTAGTATTTCTTAGAAAATTGCTAGTGATTACCTCTCTTGTGATGTGACCAATGCAGTCATTACCGTGCCTGCTTATTTCAACGATGCACAACGGAAAGCGACAAAAGAAGCTGCTGAAAAAGCCGGGCTCAAAGTCCTACAACTCCTAAACGAGCCAACCGCGGCTGCTCTCGCCTTTGGGTTTGGACGCACGCAGCAAAGCACGCTTACCATACTGGTTAATGACTTCGGTGGCGGCACCCTTGATGTTTCAATCGTGGAAATCACGGGATACTTGTTTGTGGTAAAAGCTACAAGTGGAAATCCACAGCTTGGTGGTGAAGACATCAACAACAAGATGCTCGAGTATTTCGTCAAGGATCTGAAACAGAATCACGGCAAAGACATAGAAAACGAGCCGCGTGCCCTGGCTAGACTTCGCTTGGCTTGCGAACAAGCCAAAATCAAGCTCTCGACGGCTGGAAAGGTGGGTGGCCCGCAAAGTCTAGAGGAAAGACCAGCGCTGACCCCCCGCTACGCGGGGGTTCAGCGCTGGCCTCCGATCCCCCCATAATTTGAAGTTTGAATTTGATGCAGAATTTGGCTGAATTCCCGGTTGGTCGTGTTCACGGACATTAGAAATTTATTTAGAGGAAAGATTTCAAAATTTCTACGGTTTTCACTAGTATGCCTAAGCTCGCCTCGTGCCTTTGCGCTGGGACGTAACAAGGGGTTTCCCCCAAAAATCCTGAAAATGGAAAGCCGGCGTCTAGTTATTTTTAATGCCGTTTGGGGGGAAGGGGAATTTCGCGGGTGGGGAGAAGCCACCTAACCGTATTGGCGCGCGCAATTAACATAGCAATCGACGGACTAGCTGCGCTTTGGGCGTCAAAATGCCCTCTAAATGGTAGTTTGATGAAATTTTCAGGCAGATATCTTTGTTCCATCATTACTGCTTGATTTCGATTACCGAAGAACCATCACAAGGCGGCAATTCGAAAAAATCAACGAAGAAATATTCAAGAGTGCCATGTTTCCCGTCGAACAAGCTTTGAGGGACCTAAACCTGCAACCCGACAAGGTAAATGGGGTGTCGTGCATTTTTATTTATATGGCCAGATTGATGAGGTGCTACTGATCGGTGGTTCGAGCCATATCCCAATGGTGCGCGAAAACCTCAAGGCTTATGGCTTCCGCACCCTAAATACGTCCATTAATCCAGAGGAAGCCGTCGCTAATGGCGCCACAATTCAGGCAAGTCGCACAAGGACCACGGTCCCGAAGCACCCTGCTGTTTAGGCCGCACGGTTGGCGGGCAATGGCAGCCCAAAAATACGTCGTATCAAGTTCAGTGATGTGATACCGCTATCCATCGGCTCGTCGCATTGGGGCGGCCATACGGTGGTCCGATTGCCGCGCAATACTCCCTTTCCCACAAAAACTGTGGGCCGAGTTACAAGTGCGGTGGATTTCCAGAAAACAATTTCGGTTCAAGTAAGTAATCACGCTTCCACGAAAACGATGCAAAACAAAATGGCCGGTCAAGGCGGCTCCCATTTTCCACAAATCAAAATGCGAGCCTTTCCAGGCAAGCTTCCTTTTGGTGTTAAAGGTGTGCTGCTGTAGGCCATACAGGGATTTTTTGTTCCGCTTAATTACATTTTTGACGAAATTTTTTACGCAGCAACAAGTGCTTTTTTCGGTTTGGCCGCGTATTGCTACAAATGATTCGGTAGAAGAATGGAAATGAATTTGGGTTTCGAATCTGAGAATCCTGCCGAAGAGCTTTTTTAAACGATAGAAAATCAGGGAACGAAAACAAATTTTTTTTGTGTCGGGGTAGAATTAACCGGACGACTCTGAATCAACGTTATAGGTAACCGAAGGGGAGCGCTGTGAAGCTGTACTAAATAACCGGCTAGGAAAGCTCACACTATCGATTCGCGAAGCACGGGCCGGCGAAGCGAAAATTAATCTGACTTATGAGATCGATGAAAATGGAATACTTATTATCAAAGCGGATGATGTCCGCGAGGGCACCTCACGGTCCATTAACATCAGTTCGGTGGAATTCGGCAAGGCAACGGTTCGTATATCTTTGAGAGCGGACTCAGTATACAGCCTACAAGGAGTGGTTTTTTTAGTGATCCTGGGGTTTCGAGTTGGGACCAAGCCTATTTGTGCACAATTTTTCCCTGATTCCGAATACGCTTTCAAAAAGTGCCGAACTAAAAAAACTGCTCTTTCAAATGCACAGCCGTCCCAATAAATTTGCTTAAAAAGTCACGACTCACGAGCAAAAATTTTTTTACAGAACGTGGTCCTGACCATCGATTTGACAAAGATCTCACAAATTTTGAAAAGTCGGCGTGTGATAGCTTATTTGAAAAAGCAGCCTGTGCTAAAAGTTTTCATCACAAAATTTTCCTGTGAGTTTTTGAGGCTGTTGAAAGTAGGCTATTTTGACATTTTTGGGCACTAAAAAACCTCGTAAATCTTTCAAAATCGTCGTTAAGCACTTTTTGAAAGCGAATTCGAAATTAGGGAAAAATTTTGCACAAAATAGGCTTGATCTCAACGAAACCCCAGGATCACTAAAAGACCACTCCCTGTTCCCACCGCAAGCCATTCCAACTGTTGGTCCGTAAAAGGTACTTTGAATTTAAGCAGAATCGGTGTGTCTTATCGTAGCGTATTTTACGCTCAAGCGCATTTTGCAGTCATTTACGCCTCTTCAGACTATGTTTTCTGGGGCTGTCGAGGGACTGGGATCTTTTTGTCGAATGCGCCAAAAGGGCTACTGATATGAGCCTATATAAAATCAGCACATATGGTCGGCCTAGGCAAAGGCATGCCGGTTCTCAGTTTCATTGAGAATCAATTTGTCCTTGCAGTCTTATGGTCAAAAACGGACTCCCTCGACCCGTTTTTTGTGGTAATCATGTAGTTTTTAGGTATTCGATGTCACACATTATTTGGCCAACCGGAAAAAATGCAATCAGGAAGACCTGGCCTATAGGGAGCGGGTCACCAAACTACGGGATTTTTTGGCAGCCGCACACGAGCTGAAATGGCTGAGCCGCCAGAAAGTGGGTTTATATGTAAGTAGCTCAAATGTCGATTGTTCCTGCGTATTTGGATTTTTGAGACAATGCCGAAATGATCAGGATCAGTGGTCAACGCAAATCGTACCGAGAGACGCTAGGTTTTTAGATGGACCGCCTGAGCGAAGCCAAGAAAAAACGGATCAAGGAGATTGGCAGCGCTGCTTATCAATGGATCGTGGATAACGAGCTATATCCGGATTGCCTCGAAATTGTACGCCGGCACACTGAAATGGAGAAGCAACTAAGCCAAATCATTGGCTAGGTTGGAGTGTTTTAAGGGTATATGCATAAACACCTACATCGTGCGTTTTGAAAACCTTATCATCTGCGACATTATACCCTCTCAGGTATAAAATCAGCAAACGGTGGCCCCTCAGCCCCAAATTTGTGCACAACTACAAAACATGGCCAAAATATACGGAAGCTCATACTTTACCCAGATAATTCGTTTAGTTCGCTTCAATCAATCAATAAGCATTCGATTTATTTTTTGTCCCGCCAAATGTTATCCATAAATTTTGATCTATTTGTGCGCAGTGGTGCCATTATGCGCTTCCGGTTTCTTGCCATACTTTTCTTTGATGCTGTTTACCTAAAACAATCCATTTCAGTTAGTCAGATTTTTATGAAAGTCCCTGGCCTTCATATTGGCAGTTGCGCGAAAAGAAAGGTGGCCTTCAAAATAATACCTTCTGCTTGGTTTGCTCGTTGAAATTCGCTAATCGTTCTTCCACTTTTGCTTTGTTGATGACCAAGGCCGGTTCGGTCGAATTTCCACCGAGGTTCATCTAAAAAGAGATTAGATGGTATTTAAATTAAAAACTTACTCGAAACAATTTTCCGCCCAGTGGATCTAGTGGTTTTGGGTGCTTGCAGAAAGTTGCATCGAATTCGTGAAAGAATTTTTTCAAGAATGGTTTGTTGCATGCGAGGGCTTGCTGAAAAATAAACTATTCCAAAAGCCAATGTGAAGGAGTGGCAATCCTACTATATATAAAAAAAAAATAGTGTTTGTGTGTGTGTCTGTGCCACTTTGCATGCAACTTCCGTCACCGTGTTCCAGTAGTATCTCAAGAAGGGAGGTACTTAGCGGCATGTTCGATACGTCATTAGGTGCGTTATGGTCAGGAGATGACTGCACGCATATGATATTCAACAAAAGCACCTATTTTCGGTATTAAATTTAAGTTTTTGTTGCAAAATTCGAGACTCTCTTTGTTAGGAATCAATTAGCATGCGCCGGAAGTGGCGATCGCCTATATAACGGGAAAGAGTAGCGCCTTTCATTTTTTGCTTATCGGAATCCAGGAAAATCATGCAAAGTGGAGAATATTCTAGGGTCAGACGGGGCCAGGGTTGAAAAGTCGCGAAGCGGCTTTTCAACCCTGGTGAAAGCTTAATTTTTTAAAACTGAAAAAATGAAAAGGAAAGTGGAAGATAAAAAAATTGGGGAGCCCGAATAAAATCTTTTCCTGCGCCTTCGAGTGATAAGGCGACCCGGGGCAAAGCGCGTTAATGGAAGGCTGCCTCGTTTGTAATTCCGTTTAGTAACAAAAATTTTTACCTGAACTTCCGGACTTTCATTCTTCAACCACGCCTTGTACGCGTAATAACTCGATTCAGCCGACTTTTTCTGCTCATAATCGGCGCACTTCGTGCTCGTCTCCGGGCCAAGGTGCAGCAGTTCGCGCAGCGATTTCCTAAACAAAAGAAAGTTTTTGCATAAAAAATCTAGAACCAGCCGCAGCAGCTCATCCCGTGGGGTGTAGACTACAATAGTGACCACACCAGGGGGAAACTCACATCAGAATTCAAGTTCACGTCCCAAAAAAGCCCAGGCGATTGGCGTGTGTAGCGGGCCCGGTGTGCAAATAGGAATCGGGTCGAGGGGGGATCCGAGGCAAATTGCGGGGTTGTGACCTTCGCTTCGGGAGGGGGGTCTGAATGAGAATTAGCTCACGTGAAACTTGGAATAGTTTCGGAAAACCGTGGAATGCATGGTGAGCAGACAAAATATGCTGGATTTTATGAAAACAGTGGGGGCGTGGAAACGATCTGCGTTTGAACAAGTTTTTGGAAGTGACGGGACAGAGAGATAGATTGAGACTGAGCGAGAGAGAGTGAGAGAGAGGGTGAGAGTCAAGAGAGAGAAAGATAGGGAGAGAGAGAAGCGAGCGTGCGCACGAGAGAGAACGAGATATCGCCGAGAATGGAAGAACAGCTTGCAAAAACACAGACGGAAACAAAAGGGACATCTAAAGGAAAATCTGGGAAGAATGCAGCTAAAAAACCCTGAAAAATTTCGCATAAAGATCAAAGAAAAGAAAAAATCTAGCAATTGAATCATTTAATTCCGGTCTTTAATGAAGCTACTCCGATTCTGGGAAAGCATCGACAAGTAAGCTTTTCACCAAACACACACCCCGGCAAATCACATGGATAGCAGGGGAGAGTCAGTTGTTGGTCGAGTTTTGCCGGGGGAGACCCAGAGAAACGGAGAACAAGTTTTTGCCCGGCTAACAGGCAGGGCATTTCACGTCTGGGAACCTTTGCATGAGGAGGGTGGAGTGAAATTTGCGAGGTCTGCATACCCACAGAATTTTTAGCAGCTGTAGAAAACCACTTATTAAAGTGGAATTTAGAATCTTTGACTATTCTGAAATGATACTGCTAATTTCTAAAGTATAGGATTGTAAAGTTCTATGAGATTCGGGTTATATCATAATTCCAAATTTGAATAGACAAAAATAAGGGACGAGGCGCCAACCATCCCTTATCATGGCAAACAAATGAAACCTGGGGAGGCAGCCCCCGAAAATGACTCGCCCTGGCAATACCGCAGCACCCAAATATCCTTGCCAATAACGATGTACCATAACTCGGGGGCGCGGACACAGGACCGGTTCGAAGTCATCGCGCCACACAAAAATTGATAGCCGCATCCTGACGTGAATGCGCCGGTATATCATTTTTCGTGTGTTCCGCTGGTTTGACCAGAGAGGAGAAAGTGGTAAAACTGGGGCAACAGTTTCAAACGTATTTTGCGTTGATTGGGTAGTAAAAAGCGGTCCAACGTCTCAAAATGTGGCATAGAGAAAGGGACGGCGTGCTTTGGCCATGTTTCTAAACTAGACGACGGTTCCTTGAGGCCCGTGAAGAGGCGGGGGGCGCGCCTCAAAGGGCTTCGCCCCTTTCGGCTGGGAAAGTGTGGCGCGGAAGTAGACGAAGCATAACTGGAGATGTTTCAGGACGTCAGTTTGGGGGAGTGATACATCGGAAATCTTACCATGCCTCGGATTCTTGGACGTGTGTGAGCAAAAATTATGTAAAGAAAAATCAGGAAAACCCAAAAAAAAACATATTTTACTATTTTACTACTCGAGT